TCCCAACACCTGAAGAAACTGATGCAGGCAAAAAAAATAATTGCCTCCCTCAGGTCTAGTGTGCAGACAATATACTTCAGCAACACACACACAGATCTCTGCAATGTTAAACAAAGCCTTGAACATAGGGGCTCCATTATTCTTCCATGGCTGCAAAATAAATAAACTAAGATTCATTTTCCTATCATGCCATTTATGGTTTAACATTTCCTGATCAATTGCTAAAAGATCGCCTTCAAACCTGACATGAATCTGCTTTGTTTGGCAAGCGAGAATGTAATGCACCATCCAATTTTTCCATTTTCTACACAGGAACAGATCAAGTAAAAAAGCTGAAAGTCTTTATAGGTGTTGCAAGGTATTTTTAAGAAATACTAGGTCACCTAAACCCTGTAAATCTTTTCCTCATATAAATTCTGACTTAGTGCAGGACTAAAAATGAAAGATAACAATAATTGGTGTATTCTTCTTCTTCTTCTTCTTCTTCTTCTTCTTCTTCTTCTTCTTCTTCTTCTTCTTCTTCTTCTTCTTCTTCTTCTTCTTCTTCTTCTTCTTCTTCTTCTTCTTCTTCTTCTTCTTCTTCTTCTTCTTCTTCTTCTTCTTCTTCTTCTTCTTCTTCTTCTTCATCATCATCATCATCATCATCATCATCATCATGTTTTTCCCACAGGTACAGGATCCGCTTTTCAGATCAATATTGATAAAGAATATAATAATATAATAATATATATGCGTGATCAAAGTACCATATATCTAATTCAGGGGTGTCAACCTCACAACGTCACGTGACGTGTCGTGACGTATCATGACTTTTTTTCCATTCCCGGCAATGGGGTGGGCGCGGTTTTGGCATGACGCATCTGGCCCACGGGCCGGCAGTTTGACACCCCTGATCTAATTGTATCTTTTAGCTAGTGCAAACATAACGTAATATTTCCTTGCCTATCATCACCACTCCCTGCTGCACATATCTCACATCTGCTTGGGCGGGCTAGGATGATTTGAAAGGAAGAGTGAGGCCTTACATCTGTCCAAGTGACATCCAATTTAACCTAACGTGAAGTGAAGCATTATGAGTATGTTTGTAGTATCAGTAGGCAGCATGAGCTGGCAAGAATCAACAGGTAAGACGGTGTTTCTAGACAATCAACTTTCCAAATTTTTTTCCATATTTCTGTTCTTAATTGAATATTTAAAGAAAGAAGAGAGAAGAAGCAGTGAGAAAACAGATTACAAATGGAAAATGATAACATTTGGATCCTTGGCAAAATTCTCTTGACTGAAGCGAGGTAATTGCACGATTGCACACCTTACCTTGAAGTACCTTTTCAGTTTCTGGAATAACCCAAAGCTTTTCTCACTAGACCTTCAGCTGACAATGAAGCCAGTTCCCTAAACTCTGCTGAGCAATAATGGCTCACAATTTATTTAGTGTAATTCAAATAAACAAGATATAATCTGGAACATAAAGCCCATGTCAAAGATATTTTAAGAATTAAGTTAATTGTTCACTTTCAAACCCCAATTGTACTTCTTACAAATTCCTCCTCTGAGGGTTATTAACTAGAAAACATGGCTGAAATAAAATCAGTGAACAAGATTCACTTTACAGCCTATTTGACAATATTTCACTATACCTATAACATGCTGATTAAAACTAAGATGGAAGTATCCATTGGAACACAGCGATCAGTCCAAACTAGTATTACCAATCCCCCTTGCAGCTAAAATTTGTTACAGGTAGTCCTTGACTTACGACCATAATTGAGCCCAACATTTCAGTTGTTAAGTGAATTTTGCCCCATTTTACGACCTTTCTTGCCACAGTGGTTAAGTGAATCACTAAAGTTGTCAAGTTACCAACACAGCTGTTAAGTGAATCTGGCTTCCCCATTGACTTTGCTTGTGAGAAGGCTGCACAAAGTGATCCCATGGCTCTGGGACACTGTGATAAACATGAGTCAGTTGCCAAGCATCTGAATTTTGATCACATGGCTGAGGGGATGTTACAATGGTCTTCAGTGTGAAAAGGGGTGATGAGTCATTTTTTTCAATGCTTTTGTAACTTTGAACAGCCGCTAAGTGAATTGTTGTAAGTCGAGGATTACCTGTACAAGGAAGAAGCAAGATTAATAGGATCATAGGAGCCAGAATTTCAAATTTTGAAGCCAAAAGACTTCAAGAGTAGCTTTCTGGCATTCATTTGCAAACTACTTTAGAAGTCAACCCAAAACTTAATCTGTCGATGACATTTTCTTTTTTTCTTTTCTTTTTGCAGTGAAAACAAAATGTGCCTTTTATTAATGAGAATAACGTCCTTGACAGGTTGAAAATTCAGTGGGTACATAGAGAACATTGTATGCATATAGTCTGGATTTCTTTAATCTATGCCAATGTGAGCCTAATCATAGCTTGGCCTAGAAAATGTTGATAAGGATTAGGTTTGCTCCTCATGACAATATTAGAAAAGTATTAAATACTATATCAAATCTGTTTTTTGCTTTCCATAGAGGCAAATGAGGTCAAAAGAAGAAAAGCACTGCTGCGTAATGAAAGTTGACCGGGTGCAGTCAGTTCACTCCCCTCCCCTCTTTCTGGGTATATGATTGTCAGGTGAAACAGCCCAGTAAAGCGAACAAACTGCTTTTAAAAATGCCCCTTCAGAGTTAATAAGCAGTTCAAAGAAAGATTTTTAGCAGAAATCCGTGCTGGAAATATACTTGAGTATCAACGATAGGAGCATAGCTTTCTGAGAGCGGGGAGAGGGTCCACTCATAGAGAAATCCAGAGGTTTCTATTTCTTCTGTGTTAAGTGTTTGTTTCTTGAACATTTATTGTAACAACTATTTCTGCCTAGTTTCTTTCTCTTAGTTTATGCTGACTTGGAAGCGTGCCTTTTAGATTCATTATAGCATGTTCACGGTCAGGTTTTCATATTGTTGTCCTTTAATATAACATTGATACAATTATTTTTCATGGTTATGTTAACCAGCTTCGGCTTCATGTTTGAGGAAAAAATGTGGTAGAAGTAATAATGATATAATCTTGTCAATGATTAGATGTCAGTTAGAGGAACGAGGATGGAATAATAATGCTGTTCTGCCACTAAGCCGAGAAAGAAAAAAATATAAATTCAACTAACGCTGAATTTATAGAATAGAATAGACCTGGAAGTATAGAATAGAATAGACCTGGAAGGGACCTTGGAGGTCTTCTAGTCCAGCCATTGCTTGAGCAGGGGAACCTATACCATCTCAGACAAGTGACTGTCTAGCCTCTTTTTATAAATCTCCAGTGATGGAGCACCTACAACGTCTGAAGGCAAGCTGTTCCACTGGTTAATTGTCCTCACTGTAAGGAAGTTTCTCTTTAATTCCAGGTTGCTTCTCTCTTTGATCAGTTTCCAACCATTGTTTCTTGTCCTGTAAATATGGATGAATAGAGGATTTATAGGTTGAGAATTAGAAGGGTGACCCGTTCAGTGGATCAAATGAATCAAAACCCAAGAATGAAGACAAAGAAGAACTAAAATCGGAAAGTATGTTTTAAAGAGCGAGCAGGTAGAAAAGAAATTAGAAGGGTACAAGACAATATTTCTGAGAAACTTCAGCACTGGTAGACTGGTTAAAAGAGAGAAAAGTATTGGGAAAGTTATTGAAGTATTACAATGTTGGAGACTGACGAAGAAAGCAGGAAATAAATCTATGCAAAAACTAAATGGGTAAGTTAGAAAATACAAAAAAGCACAGAGCAAGAGGGTTAATGTTAGTTCTGGATTTCTACTTCTGTTTTTCTCCAACACCTAGATCCACTCATCTGCTCTTAGTCTGGCACCTTAAAGATGTGTTGGATCTGGAAGATGAAATACAGCACATCTAGGGAGCCTTAGGTCAGTTGGACAAAACAACAAGGGCTGCCAATGAAAGCTTCCTTACAGTTCTTACTGACCCCCTTCTCTTAGTGAAGTTTTGAAGAAACACCTCTGGGCTGGATTGTTCCAGAGTTATCTGTGCCTGCCTTGGATAAGAGAGCCAGTTTGGTCTAGTGGTGAATGTGCTGGTCTAGAAACCAAGAGACACTCAGTTCTTGTCCCACTTTAGGCATGAAAGCTGTGTAGATGGCTTTGGATCAGTCACTGCCTCTCAGCCCAATCCCCCTCACAGGGTTGTTATTGTGAGGAAAATAGGAGGAGGAAGGGGTATTAGTTATGTTCACCACCTTGAGTTACTTATAAAAAAAGCAATAAAGGAAGGCTAAAAATCTAATAAATAAATAAGAACCTGGGAAGGCATCTGTCATTCACTTGCTTATAGTCCAGTCCATTTGTGCAGACTTAGCTTTTTCGAACTGACAGTCCCAAAGAGAATTTCACAGAGACAGCAGGCCTTCTTGATGCAGTTCAGAAAACACAATGGTAACTGAATGAATGCCTGTAAATTTTATTTGATACTTGGACTGTGTTAATTTCAGTCCATCTGAACTTAAATAGAAAAAAATGGTTTCGGTGGTGGTAAGGTGGGGTAAGATCTTTTGCATTATACTGCCTGCGTTCCAATTCCAACAGAGAAAGCATTTTCCAATTTCTGCAGTGAAGCAAACATACTGCTTCGTGAGATCCTTAATGGGGGCCTCTGAAAATGATTAAAGATGCTCCATAGGCAGAGAGCCTCTTTAGCACTGCATGGACAGCGTATGGATTATTGCAGTAATCAGTGCTCACTCTACACTGCAGAGATTTATATTTATGGCAGGTGCTCTGATGGCCCTAATTGATGTTAGTCTTGTAGAATGTTTGACATTGCAGAATCCTTTGGCACAGGCTCAGGAGACAAGAACTACAGGAAACAAGGACTCCTTATACAGATTCACTTTGTACTGATTTGCTTTTGGGTGTTTCCCCGCACCCTTGCGATTATGGTTTTGCTACAGACTGAGGCTGGAATTCAGCAACCTGCTCAGAGCCGGTTCTGCTTATTAAGACACTGCGAGCTGACGCTGCTATGTTTGCTGGTTTCCTTCAGTTTCTTCTCCATTCCTTGCATTCAGGGACAGGTAATCATGTGGGCCTCTCGGACTGAAAGACTGTGGGGTATCTGTAAAATATTATTGTCAATAACTTTGAGTTTTGGAAAGGGGTAATCTTTGTGATGAGGTACAAGGACGGGCTTTTACAATTTTGGAATCACCAAGCCATTTTGTTCTTGAGTGTCCCTTTCATTTCGAATATTCTAGACTTCTTTTATATGTATATTTTTTTAAAAAAAATATTGCTTGACTTTTAATGTGTTCTTCCACCATAAATACGGTGTGTATATGTGTGTATCCAGAATTATAAAAATAACCTGCCCATAAATGCAATTCTAGATCAATGCAAATGTTGCTTATGTAGATATATGATTTTGCATGTTAATGAAATTAGAAATTTCAGAGGTTTTGATGGCCAGGGATATAAAATAACTCAGATATTATTTTTAACAGATCTATTTAGACAAAAGAGTTCATGTACCCAGCTTTTCTTGAATTGTTGTGGTTGGTAAATTTCATAGCTTTCATTCAAATACCAGTCTGCAGTCTGCATATTCTAATGCAGTAAGCTTTTGCAAAATCTTTTTATGCAGTATGTTCAATTGAATTAATGCCTCTGTTTTGTATATGCTTTGTTAGTTGGCCTCATATGTAATAGTTTAAAGTCATGAAGACAGGGGTGGGTAGCTTATCTTAGTCAAACCTACTTTGGTTAGCACAGTAAAAATATTGAAATAATATTGCCATATGAAGAATTATCTAGAAAATAAAAGGATGAGGATTGAAAAATTAATCATATAACACTGGTCAGTTATTTAGACATTATTTTTAAAGTATTAATTATGTCCATCTTATTTGGACAAATATCTGTCCCTAAAGGACAGAATTCAGGTGCTTTAGGACATTTGACAGGTTTGAATTTTAATATTTACAGATTTGATTATTATTACCTGTATTATCTGTAATATCTGTAAATTTCATTTAGTTTCAGATGGTTATTTGTGATTTTTTTTCCTATTTAAATCAAAAGTTAAAAAGCATATAGTACATACCTCCGTGGCAAGTAGGAGACTTTCATATCAGACAAAGACAAGAAGAATGTCTTTTAATTAAGGTCTGAACCAAATATTTTATAAAATGTCAGTGGCAAAATGAATTAAGAATCCTATGCTAGAAGTTTAATGTGGATTGAGCAAATAAAAGAAATACCTTAATCACCTATAGCAGACATGTCAAACACAAGGGCCGGGGCCCGGATGCGGCCCGCGAAGTGGTTTCATGTGGCCCGCGAAGCCATCCTGGAAACAGTGAGGGAACGGCCCCCGCTGCCTTGGCCCTGGCCGGCCAGGAGCCAATGTAGAATTTTGTGGTGGCCATCTATGCTGAAACACATTCAGTCTTAGCTCCACAAGACCATCTGGAAACAGCGAGGAACCAGCCCCTGCCGCATCACCCCCACCCCCTGGGTGCATGCTGAGCAGGTGTCACCCTTTGTGAGGAATGAAGAAATGCACCATCGCCTGGAAGTGGCCAGCAAATGGCCCTCGCCTACTTCACATATCCGGCTTGATGGGGTCTGGTTTCGGCAGGCAGCTGGGCAATCTCCTCACAGCGCCGAGAGGCTGAACTGGGTGGCGCAAAACTGATGAGAAGTGCAATGCTGGCTAGCCCCCAGCCTGCCCAGTTTCAGCAGGCAGCAAGATGTAAAGCTGGCGAGCTTTGCGCCTCCCAGCTCAACCTCTCGGCGCTGTGAGGAAAGCGCCCCGCTGCCTGCCGAGATTGGGCAGGCTGGGAGCTGGGCGGCGTCACGCTTCTTTTCAGATTTGTGCCGCCTGGCTCAGCCTCTCGGCGCTGTGAGGACAGCGCCTCGCTGCCTGCTGAAACCGGGCAGGCTGGGAGCTGGGCGGCATTGCGCAGGTAACATTGACTCTCACGCTGCTCATGGCATCCCCTTCCCCAGAGCCCACCAAGCCAGATATGTAAAGTAGGGCAACCACAATGCTGATGCGGCCCTCAATGAAATTGAGTTTGACACCCCTGACCTACAGTGTGTATCTGAAGGCATTATCCGTTCTGGTATTCTGTACTGTTCTTTGTGTAGTTTGATCCATTCTGTTGTTGTTGTTTCCTATATGGTGTTGCTCATGGTCCCTTGATGCAACTGCCAGGAAGCAGTGCTCAGGAGACCCAACAGTAAACTGGTAAAGTCTCCCCCTTCTAGTTGTTAATATTAGTTAGCTAGTGGGATGTTAACACTGATGCGCCCTAAGAGCTGTATGCCCATGTTTGCTGTATGCTAACTTTTGCTCTTACATATTCAAAAAGGAAAAGATACTAGGTAAGAATTCTGCAGAGTCAGCAACACCTCTCCATGTAAAACTTTCAAGGGGCCTGACTGATATGTGAGTGCTTTTAAATGATGTGAATGGAAATAAAATGAGCCCAAGAGTTATTTGGAAAATGGAAAGTTAATGTATCAAAGTCAGGGGCTTTTCTTCTTGCAATCGCCTCCTGATTACAGTTTTCTGTGTGCATTTTTATTTGATGAAACAGTTTTTATCTGGGATTAATTTTAAAGAAGGGTTGATTCCACCCTGCATGTGCTGTTTTAGTCTCTTGTAGCTTGCCATAATTTGCAGGAGGATGTTAAGGGTAAATTTATGATCAACATGTAATTTTGAAATGACCTTTCTCTTTCTCCAAATTACAATGGATCATGTCTATGATAGTATCAGACTTATCTCCTCCCCTATCTCTGCCTTTTTGGCTGCCCTATTCTCCATTGATATTGCCTAATTTTGTCACCTCCCACCAACCCAGGTGACATCTGTCCTCTTCTTCCTCCCACTGCTGACAAGGTGTGCTGGTTAGCTAATTGCTGGCCCCAAGGCCTCAAAGGCTTATTCAGCCTTGGCAAAGTCTCACTCGGCCTGTTCAAAGCCTCACTCCTTCACAGGCCTTGTGAAGTCCCCATAAAGCCTCACAAGGCCTCCAAAAAGACTCTGTGCAGAGGTCACATAAGGATCTTGGGACAGGCTAGCCGCTGCCACAGCCAGATGTTCCTCATCATCAGTGGGACGAAAAGGATTGTGACAGTCATTGGGGTGCGGTGTGTGGCATGGGTAGGCTATGGAGTGCTGGATGGCCAATAAGGCAGATATACCGTAGTAGGGGAAGATATAAGCACGTGAGGGAAGTTGAAGGACGCACCGCAGTTGTAAATGCAGATGGGCTGCTAAGCACCTGACTTTGATCATGTGGAGATACTCAAGGGCCATAATCTTTAGGACCAGTCATAACCTACTATTCATTCAGTGTTGCTGTAACTTCAAATGGTTAGGCCCAGGGAATGCTATTCAGTTTAAAATGTTACCTTTTTTAGTCCATTCAGTCTAGTTCTTAAATCGCTATTTACTTATTCTACACCTTGCTGCGTATTACATATTTAAATAAAGAACATGACAGTGAAATAAGTGTAATAGCAGCAGCAATGATAATAATGATGTATGGAAAATGGTGAAGTATATATTCTGTATTTCAGCTCTATAAAATTCTTTTGACCCTGACCCTGACCTGAGGTAACCTCCCCATCACAAGAGCCATCACAAGACTCACTGATGACTCACACCTGGCCCATCACATGACCTACTACAGACCCTCACTTGACACACTTCCACACCTGAAGCTCTTATAAACAAAACACTGACACTGCCTTCCCTTGAACTCTGCTGAAGATGTTGCCTAGCCTGGTAACGAAACATTCAGAGACCAACCCAAAAGCTTAGAGAATGAACTTTCATCCTCATCCTACACCCGAGCTACAGATATTTGCCACTATTGCACTTCTTTTATATTATTGTGACTATTGTAACATATAGATGGGGATAGAATTAAAGGATAATGGCATTTATTATATAAGTTCAAAATATAGTATTTATTTGTTTAGAAAATTTATATAGCTGCTACTTGCTCAGAGTGAGTCTAGGCGGCTTATAAGCAATAAAAACACAGAAAAAATAAAAATACAAAACAATACACCCCCCCCTGCTGTAATAACATATACTCAAATGAGCCATTTGATGGATTCCATCCCATTCTGGGTCCCCCAGGCCTGCTGGCATTCATAGTAATATGAAGATTGCACAGCCTATATTAATTAACTACTGAAACAACAATTAATTAACAGTAATAGTGCATACCTATAAGTACCTGCACAGAACTATTAATTTATTTATAAAAGCTATACACCACAGCAATTGAGCAAAATATAATATGGCAAAACATTTAAAACCTTCAAGATATAATTAGAACAAAGCAGCTTATATAATCATGAATTTCCTCAAGCTAAAAGAACAGTACTTTTCTACTTATTTAAATGGAACCACCCCCAGATAAATGTGTATACAAAGGATTTTCTAGATTTAGCAGAATCTTCTATATTGAATTTCTATTCTTAAGGGACTTACTTGGCTATAGTAGTTCATTTATTTGTTTTTATTGCTTAATCCACTGACAGATCCAAAATACTCTAGTCTTCATCATAATTCATTTTTTTCTTTCTGCTTTTTACAGCTACCGTACAGTATGTATCATCTGATCTAATTCTTATTCTAATATCTATTCAATTAAACAATTCAGTCCATGTCACACAGTTTTATTAGTGTCTTTTCATTACTTAGTAATACATATTCAATACTAATTACTTATTGTCATTTTTGTTATTAGATATTCTTCAATTATCATTAGGAATTTGAAAGCCATATGAAGAATTATTAAGGGATACAAATGGATTGTGTTTTCTTTTCATAATAATTATTCAAATCCTAATCTAGATTCAAGATGCTGATTTATATGTATAATTTTAAAATTAAAAGTCCTTGAAGAACCAGTAAGAAGTATTTTTGAGTAGATAATTACAAGATTTGCTGTGGAAACTAATTCTGTTTAAATGCTGTTTAAATCAATGGGATAATTAATCACGTCTTAGTTTTCTGTGAGTTTAAAAGAAATTATGTAGAACTAACTTTACCCTAGATCCAACTATATATGTACATATATATATAATATTGGTGCATTCATATAGATTTTCAAAATTTGGTCTGTCAAATTCAAATAGCTTACATGTATTGTAAATTGCATATATATATACCATGCACTTTACATTGCTCTGTTCATAAAAGGACCACTATACTTAATGCTTTTCTTACAAATATTTTACATTATACTTCTAGATGCAGATATAATTCATTCATTCATATAACTTTCTTAATATGAGACAATATTTCTTTCTGTTCATAACTCTTCCAGGTGACTTGGATTATTACTGGTTGGATCCTGCCACATGGCACACTAGAGATACATCCCCTATTAGCTCGGTAAGAAATCTCCCTCCATCCTTCCCTCCCTCCGTCACTCCCTCCCATGTTTTGTTGGTTTAAATTAAAGAATAATATTGTTTAATAGCCATTATAATGTTCATTGTTCTCAATGTAACCCATATGAGAAATATTTATAAACATTGGATCTTAGGGTGTTTTCCATCCATGGAGTAATGTATTCTGTTTGTAGAGGTCTTCAAAGGAAGTTCATAATATTGGAAGTGAAGAAAATAGTTTTCATTGATTCCTGGAGTAAGAACTGTAAGCAGAAGTTTATAGGATGCTGCTATTGATTTCAGCAAAGGACCCATTGCTGTGTAGTAAACATACCGTAGGTACAAAAGCAGAAAGAAATACAGGTAGTCATCAACTTATGACCACAACTGAGCCCAAAATTTATGCAACTAAATAAGAAATTTGTTAATTGAGTTTTGCCCCATTTTATGACTTTTCTTGCCACGTTTGTTAGGTCAGGGCTTTTCAATCTTTTCCCCCATTGTACCACTTTTAGGACATGGCAATATCTGAGTACCATCAGTCGCCTGGCAAGGTGTCAAAAACTTGATGACAAAAAAAAATGGCACTGAAAAAAGTGTCCCCCAAGCCACAGCGAGCAAGACACCTGCCTGCCCACCCAGCGGCGCTCTTCCTCCTGTCTGAGGTTTTCATTGTTGTGAGCATTTCTGTTGAGGAATGGCTATCACTTTTCTAGGATGGTCGCGTACCACCTGCCAAGTGCCAATGTACCACAGGTGGTACCCGTACCACTGGTTGAAAAGCCCTGTGTTAGGTGAATCCCTGCAGTTCTTTAATTAGTAGCACAGTTGTTAAGTGAATCTGATTTCCCCATTGACTCTCCTTGTCAGAAGGTCGCAAGAGATCACATAACTCTGGGACACTGCAACTATCATAAATGTGAGTCAGTTGTCAAGCATCCAAATGTAAATCAAGTGACCATGGTAATGCTGCAACGATCATAAGTGTGAAAATTGGTCATAAGTCACTTTTTTTCAGTGCCGTTTGAATGGTCACTAAGTGAACTGTTGTAAGTTGAGGACTACCTATATATTGGGATAAACATCATAAAGATGTGTAGCATATATGTCTCTCCAATCCAAATTCAGGTCCAAATTATGTACTATTTGATATCCAATTTTTCTATGATAGATAGATAGGATAGATAGGATAGATAGATAGATAGATAGATAGATAGATAGATAGATAGATAGATAGATAGATAGATAGATAGATAGATAGATAGATAGATAGATATGATTGAGTTTTGTTTCTTCACAATCCCATTGTTTAATTTTATAAGTTTCACTTCCACCTGAGCCTGCTCTTATGTTCCTAGAACAGTCCTGGTGATACAGCAAATCTGACCTCTGATGGGTGTCTTTTGCCACTGCCTTCTCCAGACATGGATTTAGAGGCAAACTCAGAAGAAGAAAAAAAAATCTTCACTTTTCATTTAACTGGCGAAATTTGACAGATATTTAAGCTCAGTAACTGATAATTTTCAGAGGTCTAGACTTTCTGAGTTACGTTGTCAGATTATAATCTACAAAACGTACTGCAAACTGGCAACCAAATGATCTTTATAAGGTCATATTTTCATAATTAAAAAACAAACAGCAATAAGAGAACACAAGTTCAGAGGAAAAAGGACGGTGAGTAGGCTTATCCAAAGATTGAGCCTCAGGGAAAATATGAAAGGAATCAAACAAAACTTTGAGCTTCTGCAAATTAAATGTAACAGTGCTCTCTCGTTACTTACTGCACTGAGTATAGTTGTTGTTTTTTTCTTGAATTCTAGAAGATTTACACTCCACAATCCTGAAATGAGTTTAGATCCATTCTTTTCTGAGCCATGTGGAGATTCAATGAACAAAGCATTAAATAAATTCCTTAACCTGGTTGAGGATGGAATGGTGTTATCTCCCATAAATTTCCCTACTAGAAGTGAAAGGAATTAGATTTCATTCAAGTGTGTGTGTATGTGTGTGTGTGTGTGTGTGTATGTGTATGTGTGTGTCTGCTGTACACTTTGCTGTAATAGGGATCTCTGGAATTGTCTTGTTAAAGATGCCTTTTATGAGCTGAAATATACTTATTAGGTTGCAAGTTGTTAAATACGATTTACATTTTTTGGTTGTTAAACATAATGCATTTTTTTTAATTCTGGAGATAGCAATCCACGTAAATAATGAGTGCAAGTAATAAAAATAGGTGATCACTATAAAAGTAGAGACCCAAAGTCTTTAACAAAAAACAATTTCTCAATTCATTTGTTTTCCTGTATTTGTATATAATAGCATCCTGTAACTTGGCAACCATCTAAAGAGGGAGATCGATTAATTGGTCGTGTTATTCTCAACAAGAGAACAACTATGCCAAAAGAGTCAGGTGCATTACTGGGACTCAAAGTAAGTGCCTTGGACACTATACTGTAAACCTATTTCCATTAATCTTTTGTAAGAAGACTTGCCCTTGGCTGAAAAAGAAAGAAGTTCTTCTTTAGCAAGGTTTTAAAGTAGTCTATCATTCAAGTACGACCCTGAGATGAAAAAGAAGCAGAAGTTAAACTGGGCCAAACTTATTAATTTTTAAAGTTGAGTTCACACAATATGCATGGCTAAATTGTATTTTGCCAGTTTGTGGCTCGGTGTATTGTATGACCCAAACAGTGTGGTTAAGTTATTGTATAGTGCATTGTTCAAATCTATGCACTTGAATTTGAATTGGTACATTAGTTAATAATTGGTTAGCATTTGGGTTAAATATTAAATGGAAGCTGATAAAAAAATGTGATATTTTCTAGCATTCTGCCTCTTCAGAGTACTTGGGGTAGGTACACATTTATTTATAAATCAGAGATAGCCTACAGTTAGGTAAGTAACCACTCTTTTTTTCCTCTCCATGAATTCCTAGTTTTTAGAAATATAAATATATATGTATAACTAAATTTCAGATTCCTTGTCATGTAGGAGGAATACTACATATACCCCACTAAGGGTATATCTTGCCATTTTTAATAGCCAATCACATTGAATGCTCCATGCTTCTATTGTTCATGCACTGAGTCAAGAAGGAGTGATTTTTCTTTGCTGCCTTTCTAGATCCTCAGCCAAGTAGTTTGAACTTTGCCTCTAAGAAGAGCTGGCAGAATGGGCTAGATTTCTATATCAGACATTAAAACATGTCTTTTATATCCTACAAAGAATGAGAGGAAGTATGAATAATAATTACCATTATTCTGTACCATGATTGTCATCCTGAAAAATAATATATATATATCAATATAGTTATATTTTACCTTTGGAGTCAACCATACTGCAGGTTAAAAACTTTAGGGAAATTATGTCAAAATTTCTGTTGCTGTGTTCCTTAAACTTTGGCCATGAAAGGCAATGAACTCAATAGTGAAGAATGTCCTTAGTGCTCATGGTGAAATTTTGGGATTGTAATGTTCACTGAGCTTGGGTTTTTTTCTTGCAAACATACTGTTCCATTTAATTGTGTTGCTACCAGGGACCCCAACATACAATTTAACCAGAGAACTTACCAATTAACTTGATAGCTCATAGAACATGCAACTTTAATGCCTTGAGAAAATTAAAGGCTTAACAATTGTGAAAGATGAAATCACTGTCTAATTTGATGTCACAGCATTCTTACCTCCATATACCCAACACTGGCAGAATATCCATTGAAGCTTTACTATATAAAGCATCAAACCTAGCCAAGTGTATAAAACTGGAAAAAACTAGAATCATAGAACTGATAGACCTTTGCCACATCACTTACTTTCAATTTGATGGATAGATACATAAACAAATTAGAAGATACTGTATGCAAACATCACAGCAGCAATCTCTCTTAAACAATCCCCTAAATCAGACATGTCAAACTCGCGACATCACATGACGTCGCTCAACGTATTGGAGCTTTTTCTCCAATGGGGTGGGTGCGGTTTCCTGGTGACACGTCTGGCCTGCGGGCTGGCAGTTTGACACCCCTGCCCTAAATCCAATAACTACAAAAAGGCAGAACAGGAATTATTTACAACATACCATGTAAAGACTGTGAAAGTCACTATCAGAAGATTAGCAGAATACATATGTGAACACCAGGAAGCAGCCAGAAGACATGATATAAATTCTTTAATTTCATGACACATCAGCAAATTGAACCATAAATTCAGTTGGAAAACTAAATGTTTTAGATCATGCCAAATCCAAGAAAGCAAGGGAATTCATAATAGCTTGGTGTTCTCTTACATCAACCATTAGCAGACACAGAGAGACAAACCTAGTATACAACTATTTAAAAAAGAAAGCAAAGACTCAGAGCATATTCTCCTTCCCTCCCTATCACATACCCAGTAATCAATATGCATATCAGTGAGAACAAAAACAATGAAAGGAACACTCTTAAGATGAAACAGTACAGCCAGATCAAGTAGGTAGGCCAATCAGAAGGCACACACACAACTTTAAGTAAGATAGGTCTTACCATCTGCCATACATAAAAAGCCAGGAAACTCCATTACTGTGATGATGCTTCTCCTATTGATTGGTTTAGATCAGGGGTCTTCAAACTTGGCCCTTTTATGACTTGTGGACTTCAACTCCCAGAATTCCTCAGCCACGCACGCTGGCTGAGGAATTCTGGGAGTTGAAGTCCACAAGTCATAAAAGGGCCAAGTTTGAAGACCCCTGGTTTAGATGGTTGCCAATCTTAATCAGTTGCAACTCTGGGCAGCAAACATAAGGTTAAAAACCAACAGAAATATTGCCTGTTTTGGTAATTAAATGTTTGCAACAAACAGTTTTCCTGGATTGACAAATTGAAGTAAAAGAGGTAAGTTCCACTTCTGCAAGAACAGAAGTGCCTTTCAGTTATTCAACAGTAAGGGTTCTTAAGCTGAAGTTTTTGCAAGTTTAAATAGTCACATGAATATGGATCTCTTAAAAAATCTATCTAAAGTATCAACTCTGCACAAGCAATTATCCTCCTCTGAAAGATGCAAGGTTTCTGTGGTTATATAAGTAAAAGGCATTGAACTGAATATAGATTCCCATTATTTTAGTTAAAATGCAGTTTGGTATTCTGAAAGGTGGCATATTTATTTTCAGGTTGTAGGAGGAAAAATGACCGATTTAGGACGACTTGGTGCCTTCATTACCAAAGTAAAGAAAGGTAGCTTGGCTGATGTGGTGGGACATCTAAGAGCAGGTATCTCAGTTATGGGAATGATTTTGTCTTAATATTCTCAAAACCTGTATAATGCTACTGTTGTGTACTATATTTGCAGTTTCAGTGTATAGTTCCCTCCGTAAATATTTCAACTTACTAGGGGCAAGGTAAGGGTTATCTATTTCAGCTGAATCCAGTTATATTGGTTAAATATATCTTTATTGGATGGACTTTTAGAAGTACTCTGTACACAAAGTAAAGATTTGCATATGCTAAAACTATTTTTATAATATATAAAGTTATGTCTCTAAGAGTATATAGATCTTAGTTATATCTGACAGCAAGGTATAAAGAACTGAAAAAAATACGTATAATCTAAATATTGATACTACTCCAGTTTATGTGAACAAAACAAAACAAAACCTTAATTCTGGACTAATTTCCATAAACTTTATATGAAAATCCATGCATGAGACTCTTTGTAACATTGGCTATATATGTCTGCTAATGAACAAAGGGCACCTTTCTGTAAACCAAAACTGCAGAAATATCGGATCTTACTATTCTTTTTAAAACAGAAAAAAAAAAAATCTTGGCAGAAAGAAGGAAATGACCTTCTCTGCACCAGAGATTTGTTATAAAGAATAATGGGAAGCGTTTGCAAGCCCAAGAGCTCTGCAAAAAACATTTGCTGGGCTAAAGGAAGGAAACCATCAGGTTTTGCCTTGAGATAATAAGAAATCAACCAACTGTGTTACAGTGGAAGTATGCTGCATTGCACTCTAATATCAAAATGGTCAAGCTGCTCACAGCCTGACAGAACAAAATCTGAGACCTCCTGAGAAAATTAAATATTAAAATCACTTGAAGAGTTTCAATTTTCAGCTGACCTCTTAAATAGATTTTAGTCTGTCTCATGTTGCCTGGTTAATCTTCTGCTTTTGGCTGGCTAGAATTTATTTATTTATTAAATATATATGCTGCTCACCTCCCTGTTGAAGTGACTCTTGAAGCTTACAATGTGATCAATCAACGATAGAGAGACAGACAAACAGACTGATTGACTGACTGAATATTGATTAAGAAATCCTGGTACTAATACAAAGAAAAGAAGAATGGTATCAAATTCTTCCTCTTTAATAGCACATGCTGGGCTCTAACTACCTATACTGGCCCAATTGCATGTTGTGATGTGTGATAGCAGAACTGGGTGATGGCCCAGTTAGGTTCCCTGACATTTTTCTGCCAAGCCATTTCAATTTTGGTGACAGCTCGGTGTTTTGATGTCAGAAGATTGCAGAGTTTTATTATCTTTGAATTTACACCCACAGATATGGCCTAGAAAAGAATCTAGGAATTTATATTTGTCTATGCATGTATCTCTGTGAGTGAAATCATACAAAAGAATGTATCCTTTGTTTTTAAATTCCAGGTGATGAAGTTCTAGAGTGGAATGGTAAACCACTTCCTGGAGCTACAAATGAAGAAGTTTACAATATCATTTTAGAATCCAAATCAGAACCTCAAGTTGAAATTATTGTTTCAAGGCCTATTGGGTAAAGTTTGCTTTGCAGTTTCTTTCTTAGCCTCCTCCCCTTTCTTTCTCTCTCTCTCTCTCTCTCTCTCTCTCTCCCTTCTCTCTCATAAATGCAGGCATGTCATATAAAAGCATATAATATTACAATAAGATACACATTGGCATACTAAAAATGTAAAGTAAAAAAGAATGAAGGGGCAACCTTAACATTGGATTCTCAAGACAAAAGTCCTTGGCATCAAGTTTGGAAAGCTTCAGGTATAATGTTAACTATAAGGTGAAAATGGTCTTACTAATATATGTCATGTTTTGTATATTTGGGTACAGATCTCAGCAGTTAGACATCTCCTGCTATACTGCTTCTTCAGATTTACAGCTAATTTAAGATCCATTTATTTTAATGGCTCTATGGTAAATGTTACCAAGTTTGGATCCAGTCTATTTTCTATTAATTACCACTTCATTTTCACCTTTCCTCTCCCAATGTGCTAAATCAGCTGGGAAAGGATGAATGTTATGTTATGAAGCACACCATCATGTATCTATCTGAATTGTTAACTGCAATATGCCCTCATCCCGTCTAGGGTAGAACAGTGCAATGTGCTATGCCGAGGGCTTCTCTTAAAGACTATCAGGAAGCTACAGCAAAACCCAGCAGCCCTCTTATCAATGGGTGAGGGACACCATAATCATATACCTTCAGTGTTGCCTACACAACATTGGCTGCAGATAATAATCAGGTGGTTATCATCTGTGCAGCCCTTAATAGCTTTTGCCTGAATACATTCAGGATTATCTCATAAAAATATATCAACTGTTGATTCCCTCCTCCCCAATGAAAGTCTGTAGAAAGTAGTCAGGAGAATGGGCCATAATGGCTCCTCCCCTTTGGAATTCCTCACCCACTCTTCCATCATTTAGGAAGGTGGGAAAGACTTAAGCTTCCTTCTAGGGCTTTTAATTCTAAGATTGCTGCTATTACTGGATGCTGGGTGGGGAGACCGTTTTACTCACTATATTGTTCTTTTAGTGTTGGTGTTATTGTTCTTAATGCAATGTTTTAAAAGGCCTGGAGTCTTACGGAGGGTGGTAGTCTATAATAATGGCATTTAAATTAAATTAAAGGCAGGATCATATCTAGGATCTTTCTGAATTCTTGTATAACAAAAGTTCCTTGGATCATTTGGGATTAAAGGTAAAAAATCTTATAGCTTATATTTTAGAAGTCATTCTGGATTAAAATCCAGTATGACATATTTAGTGATATAAATGAAATTAAGTGTGTTTCCATGTATATTGTAACATGATGCATTTAAAAACGGGGATTATGTTTGCTTGCCTAACTGTTTCCAAGTTTCTTTTCTGTTTCTCTCTCTGTTATTATAAGGTTCTTTTGTAGGTTTAATTCAGCAAACTCCTTCAGGTGTGTGTATAAACATTTCTAGTGAATTAAATACCTTTCCCCCCCTCAAATTAGTATTTTGTAGTTTCATTCCTCTCCTATTTACTTTTTCCTGGTGTGTGGTGGAAAAATATTGTGGACTGCCAAACCAGAATATAAATATTTACATTGAAATTGCTGTTTGTATCATTTTCAAATCATATTCCTTAAGAGAAGTGAATTTCCATCTTTCTTAAGAAATTGAGCAAATTCAAGAAAAGTAACTGTCTAGAAGAGATATGTCAAAAGCATTAAATCTGGGATTTTTTTAAAAAAATGAATAAACATTCAAGGTTTCAACCTCTTTATTAAATAGCATTAAATAAATACTTGTATATATAGACTAAAATTAGTTTATAACATTGCTCTGTGGATCAACAGGCATTTCAAAATTTTATTTATATATGTCTATTTCAGTGACATTCCAAGGATTCCTGAAACTTCTCATCCTCCACTAGAGTCTAGTGAGTATTGATTTTGTTCTAGCTGCTGAGATTGAACAATGTTGATTCATAACTTGTCATTCAGTATTACTTAGTTTACCAGCACAGTCATCCCTCCCTCCACAGTGATTTTTTATACTTACTCATGCTGTATATATTTTATTCATACCAAATGATAGTCTGCAATATTCATGCTAAAATACATGGAACAATAAATAGCTGTAGTACATACTACCAGGGAAACCATTTGCAATGTCTGACTCATGATACAAACTGGTCAACAGCAGTCATATTACAAGATTGTGACATGCTTTCCTTTTGAACCTCAAAAGTTACCAAAAAATGCTGCTTGATCATACAAATTGACTTTAACTATTCACTTTGAACTCTTTCTCCCCAGCCTAAAGTATAATCATGAGAACTGGCATTTTTTCTCTCCCCTTTCTCACTTTATATAAACCAGAGTTTTCTGAACTAGAGTTCTGGTTTAATGTTGATTTTCAAACCCAGAAAAGAAGACATAATATCATGTGGCTTAATTTTCCATTTTGTCAACTGAGGTTGTCCAAATTCCACCATTCTAGGTATAACACAAGGAATTTTGGCTGAATATAAACTAGATTCTTTGTTGGAAAACAAATGCGTAATTTTTAGAGCAGTAAAGAGTGAATTCTCAACTTTAGTATTTATCCCTTTCTTTTCTTCCTTTCTTTCACAACTCTAGTGTCACAATTATCCATTATAGTGCAACTGAGAAATAATTCCAGGAAGAAATACTCATTTTTTTCTGACGCTTTTTTAAAAAAGAAATTCCTTATCACTCCTTATCTTTTGCAAAATAATTGCAAGCATTTCTTTATCCATTTCTTTTAAAATCTACTGTATCAGGGCTTTTCTCATATTGTAGCAAATATATCTCCTCATGTATAGACTACAATAAATGCAAACTATCATATTAGAGGAATTACATTTGATTTCCTTGACTGAAAAGTTTCAATAGTTCTCCTTGCTCAAAAGCTATATTGTGTTTACAAGTATTTAAAACTTAATGTTTTGTTGAAAATCTAACATATTTTGGCATTTCTAAGTATTTAAGTCTTTTTATTTCATTTATTTCATTTAATTTTTCTTGTTCTTCTCTTCTTTCTTTTTTTTCTTTCTACCATTTCTTTTGCAGATAGGGCAAAAAGTTATTTCCGTTATTATTGTTGTTGTTATTATTGTTGTTATTTTGGCTAGTGCTCTCTTGTTCACTTCTTCTTTTAAGATGATTACTTTCAAATTCTTTATTATTATTCTATCTTCTTCCTTCTCTTTCCAGGTTCTAGCTCATTTGAATCTCAAAAAATGGAACGGCCTTCAATTTCTGTTATTTCCCCTACTAGCCCTGGAGCTTTAAAAGATGCACCACAAGTCCTACCTGGGCAGCTGTCAGTAAGTATAGAATTATGGTGCTAGAAAATGCATTTTGTCTGCTTGTAGATGTCTCACAATATTTATATTTACATTGTTTGGTAAATGTAAGTTTACTGCATTTTAACTAAGCATGTGTGTATGCTTACAACATAGCATTAAAAATGATTGATTGATTGTGTGCTATCGCTCATTTTCAACTCCTAGGTGCCATATTTTTTCCATAATAATCTATTCCTCAGAAAACATTTTGGCATGTACTTATACAACAGGACCAATCCTATGTTATGAGAACCAATTTTTAAAAATGAACTTCAAACTCAGTCCTGCTATAAGAGTGGTTCCTCTTTATGTTAGCCACTCACTAGCCACCCACTTTTATTCACATGTGCATCTATAGAAATATGAACACAGACCCATGCAAAAACACACACACATACAGACAATGCTACATAGTGATATTTAATTGCTCTGTTGGAAGCTTATTCCCCAAAAGTTGTTTGGGGAATGGCAGTGTACTGTCTTACAGGGCAGGGGATGGGAAAGATGTATACAAAATGGTAGCTGATGTGAAAGATGGCAAAAACAATAAACTCAGATCCGTCCTGTACAGTTTCCTACCTATTACAATCACTGAAGTAAACTCTCAGCTTAAAAAAAAATATGGCATAGCTGACTGAGTAAATTGACTCAATAGATTGGGCTGCTGGGTATTAATTCCTGCCTTCAGTTGTCCTCTTATACAGTAGAATCTAAAGAATAATCCTCTCCTGTTGTTGCCTGCCAAGAACCTGCCTTTGGAATGGAAATCACATACAGATAATATACATACTCATTTATAGATTCATCCTACATGAAGATGTCTAATCCCATTTAAAAGCAATCTAACAGACATTACAAAATCCCATTTTTAGTGCATTTTGTAGCTTAATCATAGTTTGTATGGGAAAAGTTCCTCCATTTTTTTACTTCCCAGATTTCCTTTCAAATCAGTTTCCATAGATCAAGGTATTTTAGTTGAAGGTAGCATATCATAAACAGGGTTTAATGTGGAGAAGAATTACTTGTATGCTTTCTATTATTTAATGAGTGTATTGTTGCTTCCTTTATCAGTCTAATGTAGATAAAAATAAACCCAAATTGACATATTTCATTGATAATGTAGAGCTCTTTTAATATTTTAGGTTAAACTATGGTATGATAAAGTGGGGCATCAGTTAATAGTGAATGTTCTTCAAGCAACAGATCTGCCACCTAGATTAGATGGACGACCAAGAAACCCATATGTGAAAATGTATTTTCTTCCAGATAGAAGGTAAGACTTCAGATGAAAGACCGTATTGTACAGATTGAAGCATCTCAATTAAGCCCTTTAATTGTGAAATTCGTTGCAACTTCAATATTACTCGTCTTGATGAAGGGTTAGTGGCCAGTTTTTAATTTTATTTTCTTTGATGCAAATCAGAATCTGTCTCTAAACAACACCAAAGTTATTCAGGTGCAAAGGATGATGCATTATTTTACCATATCTTCTGTTCTAGAATAATGTTGCTCAACCTTGGCAACTTTAAGCAGGCTGACTGGGAAATTTGGGGAATGAACGTCCACACATCTTAATGTCGACAAACTTGAGAAACACTGTCCTGGAATAATCCATTTTTTCCATAACTTTATTAGTTCCATTTTTTCCCACCCCATTTTTTCCTACAAGCAGAAGCCAATTGTGTGCAATATTAGCATTAAATGTCGACATCTACTTGATACTACTGGGTCAGAAGTCTGCTAATTGATGTGCAATAGGATATTCTGAAGGCCAGCACTAGCCACCAGTTATTTTCCTTGAATAATGTATTAATTACAACCTTTATGCCGAAAAGTAGCATAGAGTCTGGCTAAGATTTTATTATTTATGTGTTTATATTATTTCATTTTATATGGTCGTCCAAATAATGTGTTTATACTTGTTTACATTTTTGCTGTGTTTTTAATGTGTTAATAATAATATTTAATTTAGTAGTAGTAGTAGTAGTAGTAGTAGTAGTAGTAGTAGTAGTAGTAGTAATAATAATAATAATAATAATAATAATAATAATAATAATAATAATAATAATAATAATAATAATAATAATAATAATAATAATAATAATAATAATAAAGTTGGAAGATATCTTGGAGGTCATCGAGTCCAACCCCCTGCTCAGGCAGGAAACCCTATACCATTTCGGACAATGGCTGTCCAGTCTCTTCTTAAAAATTTCCAGTGTTGGAGCATTCACCGCTTCTGGAGGCAGGTTGTTCCATTGGTTAATTGTTCTAACTGTCAGGAAGTTTCTCCTTAATTCTAAGTTGCTTTTCTCCTTGATTAGTTTCCATCTGTTGCTCCTTGTCCTGCCTTCAGGCGTTTTGGAGAATAGCTTGACTCCCTCTTCTTTGTGGCAGCCCCTGAGATATTGGAACACTGCTATCAAGTCCCCCCTCGTCCTTCTCTTCGTTAAACTAGACCAGTGGTTCTCAACCTGTGGGTCGGGACCCCATTTGGGGTCGATCGACCATTTCATGGGGTCGCCAAGCAAGGCTGTCCGCCATTTTTTTTGTCCGCCATTTTCCCCCCCCTTTCCCGGTGGGTGCCTTACCTCCCTTGGGCTGGGCCAGCTGGTGGTCAGTTGCTCCGTCTCTGCTGCTTGCCAGCTACGCCTCGGCCGGCGCAGGGGGCGGAACCACGCATGCACGGCACTCCCGGGCAGGGAAAGTCCTCGACTTACAACCGGTTGGGTAGTCCTCGACTTACGACCGGTTTAGTCCTCGACTTACGACCGGTTTAGTCCTCGACTTACGACCAGTTTAGTCCTCGACTTACGACCGGTTGGGGTCGCGGCATTAAAAATGTTGAGAACCACTGAACTAGACATACCCAATTCCAGCAACTGTTTCTTATATAGTAAATGACTTAATGGATTCATTCTGTCTGTCCCTTGGTCAACCATTTAACTTACTAAGCTGTGAATCCAACCACAGCAATCTTTTATAGTGTTCAACTCTGCAATGCTGCTGGGTTATTGAGTTTGAAGCAGCTAATCAGCTGACTAGGGGATCTTCCCCTTGCCTCTTTACAGTGAGAAGTGAAAACACTGGAATCATAACTGTAGTTCATGATGAAGCTTAAGGCCTGGGATGGAAATACATATCTGGATTTCTGATGATGATTTACATGACTTTTTATGTTTCAGTGATAAGAGTAAAAGAAGGACAAAAACAGTAAAGAAAAGCTTAGAACCAAAATGGAACCAAACCTTTCTCTATTCGCATGTGCACCGTAAAGATTTTAGAGAACGGATGTTAGAAATCACTGTTTGGGATCAGCCAAGAGTGCAAGAAGAAGAAAGTGACTTCCTCGGAGAGGTGAATGTGCATGTGCCATCATTTTATTTTAAATGTGGAATAGAATCTTGAAGCAGTTTGTTCCTATTGTTAAACAAAAATGAATTTTGCTGTACTTTCTCATAGATTCTCATAGAGTTGGAGACTGCACTTTTAGATGATGATCCACATTGGTATAAGCTGCAGACCCACGATGAATCCTCACTACCTCTTCCTCAGCCATCACCTTTCATGCCAAGGAGACATGTCCATGGTGGAGAAAATTCCAGCAAAAAATTACAAAGTAGGTGCAGAATTCCGCTTTCATTTTGGTAGAACCTTTTGACTAGTAATTATGATGTAAACATTTATAACAATTTAAGCAACTACATTCAGTAAAACGTATGGGTTTCAAAGATCTGCACCAAGATTTAACTTATGCTGTCTCAGTGTTTTCAGAACTTCCGTAGGAAGTTTTTAGGTTGAAAATCGGATTCTTTAAACTGAGTAGGACTTGTTTTTAAAAGGGCATGCATAATATTGTGACTGTATTTATTATGATAGTGTTTGCAAAGACCAGACTTGGCTATATTGCCATCATCCTGAAATCTGAAAAAGTAAGAGGAATGCTTCCTGCTTTCATTTTAGCGGTCAATAAATGTCTACTAGGAGTGCTTTGTTGCTGCCTCTATGTTCAGCAGCTTTTCTTTTGATGATTTGTCAATAAGATTTTCAATACTGTCCAATTTCATTACCTCTTAACTTTTTTGATTAGATGGTTTAGGTTCACAGTTAACATGAGAATGGAAGCTGTTGTCCTTTTTGGCTCAGCTATAATTTATGGATACTCATCGATCCCATAATAACTTAAATGTCAATCTGTACTTGCTTGTGCGGATCATTGGATTCACATGTTGCACTAAACCATAATGTGAATTGGTTTGGTTTGGTTTAATATGATGTATGAACTTTAGTGAACCAGTTATGGTGCAGTGGTTAAGGCAAAACTCAGGAGACTGAGTTGTAGTCCCGCCTTAAACGTGAAAGCCAGCCAAGTGACTTTGGGCCAATCACAGCCCAACACACCTGGCGGGGTTGTTGTGGGTAAAATAGGAGAAAGAAGTATGAGGTACATTTGATATATAGGATAAGATATATACAGTAGCAATTAAGTAATGTGAAATCAGATATACCAGGTCTCTGTATATCTCTGTATATGGGCAAGTTCACAATAAATGCTACAATCCAGTGAGTCATTGTAATGTCACAATATGCTTGGAACTATAGCTAGTACCAGAGATGAAAATATGTTCTGATTCTGAGCCACTTTGCAATAGCTTTTTTTTTACACAATTATTATTATCTCTTTTTTTTAGTTCTGAATGCATCCCATTTATTTAACTCTCCCAAATAATTTTTGCTTACACATATTTTAACCTTTTGCAAAAGTATCAAGTATACAGTATTTGCCTTACTGTTGCACAGGATCTCAGCGAATCAGTGATAGTGACATCTCAGATAATGAGGTTGATGATGGTATTGGAGTAGTTCCTTCAGGTGCGTGGGTGAAGAGCATGGTCCTACATCCTTTGCTTCCACTTCCCTGTCCCTTTTCCTCTTCCAAGTTTGAATTTTCTAGATTTTTGAAAGAACTTGAGTTGGGAGATCATGTTTTCTAGAAAGGTGCATGTTGTATTGTTCCACGGTGACACATTCTAAAATTTATTTGATCCTGAATTAAAATTAATCTTCCATTCTACTACATCCGTAGAGAATGGTCAGAGGCAACGATTTGTTACAATATTAATATTTAATATTGATACCAATGTAAACAACTAATAAATCTGTTTGTACAAAATGTAGGCATTTCATGGGTCAAAGATCTGTTTTGAAATAAAAGATAATACAAAAATATATTCAAATATATAGCCCAAGTAATAAAAATCTCAATTAATTTTTTCTTGTTTTCAAGCCAGACAGGTGCACCATGGAATATATTGAAAATGCATGGCTATATGTAGTGCATGAAGCATGGCGATATATTTTATAATTCTTACAAACATTAATTAGTTTTCTTTATCTTAAATATATCCATAAAAGAAGATGTAAGTAATTTCTGTAAAAAGATAAAATCAAAATTCTAGAAATACAGTGTTCAACATTATAGGAAATGCTGCATGTTTCCTGCAGCCAGTCACAGCCTGAATTGAAAAATATGTTCAAAAAAACAAAAAACAAAAACCAGCCCCAACTTCACATTTCAATCAGATATTTCAACCAGATAATTATGAACTGTAATAAACAGTTTGAAAGAATTTTAGTTATTCTTATTTTTCTCTATTTGAAATAATGACTGGCTAGTATGGTTACCAATGCTATTTTGGCTAGTATATATTAATGCACATTATACAACAACATTGTCCAACAACCCTAGAACAGTATAGCACCTAAATTCATTCTACCGTATTTTTGGGAGGTGTTAATTATGTTAAAGAATTTTCTGTTAACTGAAAATCAAGAAAGATGTCATAATAGTCATAATGGTCTATTTTGCCATTTTTCTTCAACAATAGTTGAGCTTCTCTAAATTAGCTTACTAATAAATAAGCTAATAATCTCAGTTATATTGTTATAATTAAGCCATATGTTGTTACCTTTTGTCATACAATGCTGTCTTTATACTGTCTATTGGCAACATAGGCTATTGAATAAAAGCACTCAGAGCCCTCTCTGTGGGCATGCGTGCCGTCGCCCCAGTCCTAGGCTTTCAGCTGGGTTTTATAAAACCTTTTCGCTTTAGGCCTCTGCCGCCGTGTGCAAAAAAAAGAAAAGGTTCAATCAGTCAATTTCAACTTCTCGTGGGGAAAAAAAGATCTTGCAAATTTGGAATTGATTGATTGAACTTTTTAGTCCCACCCAGTCTGCCGTTACCACTGCAGCCACGTCTACCCAATGGGCCACGCCCACCCGGCACTCATAGTTTCCATTGTCTAATGTATATGTTTAAAAATCCTTGATAGTTTTCGTTTTGCAGATAAGGATGCATTTTAACATAAATATAATTAAACGGGGAAAGTTATTTCATAATTTACATCATAAGCAATTATTTTATCCATGCCACAAATCATCTTCCATTCACAAAGCAATCACACAGAATTTATGAGAGAAAAGTATGGAATATATTCTGCATGAGGATTCCTATAAACTCCTTTGTATTCTTCCTTAGATGCTGAGGTTCTTTAAGAACCACTAAATTTAATTTATATACTGTTCCTTCGCCTAAAGGATTGATTTAAGTAGCCTGCTGCTATTTATGCTACAGTTCAGGCCTTATCTTCTTATTATTAGAAGAACTTGATTGCGAGTTGGTATCTTTTTACCTTTTGAAAGATTTTCTTTTTGAACTCCATTGGTTCATCATGCTTCCTGTGCATAGATAGTTCTTCCTATAGGAGAACAAAATGTAATTTTTTTTTCAACAAGAAGCCATGTATGGCTTTTGCTATTTCAGTGGAAGGCATCATTCATGTCTGCATTCATATTGTAAGCTCTGTAACTAATTTGCAATTTTGATGGCCTTTAGTTATAGTTTTCTTTGTCTATTTGTTGTTTTTTATGTGCTAGGTCCAATAACAATACTTTGTGATAGTGAAGCAAAAACGTTTAATTCTGGGCAAAGGAAGTTCTACTGATTTTTTTCAATGTTGAGCAGTACTTTCTTAAGTGAATTTTGTATCATATTCACATCAGCAGCTAACTTAACTGAAAATGAAACTGAAGCTTCAATCTTAGAACAATTACTCACAAACTATTCTGTTGCTTGCAGTAATTTTGGCAATAGCATTGTTTCAGTGTTGCAGCCAAAGATGTACAGATTTCATCTGAAAATACTGAAGATTTGAAAAACTGACCATCCTAGAAATTAATATCTAATTATTATTTAGATATTATATTTGTTCTTTTTCATTTTTTCACCTCTGGGAATTTCTTAGTCTGCATGTAAATTCTTCTGAACCCATGTTTATGCTTTTCCCTCTTATATATATTTAAGTATAATGCTATTTGTTAGACCTAGTTGCATGATATTTCAGGATTTTCACTGGTGAAACAGCTATTTGAAAATCTTGTAATAAACAAAGTTGCTTTCTTGAAAAGACCAATCTGATTATTAATTCATTACTATTTGTGATCCAAACTAAATTAATGTTGTTGCACTTTTACCAGTAGGCTATAGGTCTAGCAGTAGAGAAAGTAAATCTGCAACATTAACTGTGCCAGAACAGCAAAGAACAACTCATCATCGTTCACGATCTGTATCTCCTCACCGTGGTGACGATCAGGGCAGGACCCGTTCTCGTTTACCAAATGTGCCATTACAGAGGTAAGATTGAAAATGTAGCTGCTTCATCATTAACTCTTGCACTAACATTAACTGTTAGTCTATACGAAATGGAGTAATCTAGAACCCCACTACAGTATTTTTAGCACTTTTCCATTGAATTCATCTGAATTTAAAAGTGGGCAACTGTGAGAGAGGCAGATTTTTGTGGTTATAGATATGTGAAGTTTATATTCTTTTTAGGTACTTTGTGCTCCGACAGGAGGGTGACTGTTGCCTCTGCCATGGTCAATTTGCCATGAAGAGAATTATTAGATTCTTGTGTAGTTCTCTTAATAACAGACTATAACTAGGCAATTCTTCATTCACTGTTTCCTAAACAAGATTATTCTATCAATCGCTTAATGCATTTTACTTTTTGATACCATCATGTTCCACACTGTCCTTAGGCCTTCCTGTCAAGGAAGTAATTTATAGAGCTAGAGCTAGAGCTCTTGCCAAAAAGCTTGGGGCAGCAAGGAAATACCAGAAGAATTCAGCAATATTGCCAAGGGTTTTTGTTTTCTCTCACCATCAAGTCATTGAATTAAATATTAATATTAATTATGTGCTACCTGGAAATTCTGAAAATGTTAGTCACAACACATCAGGAGAACAAATGGCTACAAAAGTCTATTGTACTGGACTGGGTTATATGTATTTTGCATTCCTAGATCAATATTCCTCTATTTGCATCAAAGTTATCAGACTTAAGAATTTTACACATTCATTTATATTAATGTATTTGTTCATTATTCTATAAACCAGGAGTTTAGATGAAATTCATCAAATGAGAAGATCACGTTCTCCAACTAGACACCATGATGCCTCCCGAAGCCCAGTTGACCGCAGACCCAGAGATAGGGATAATCAGTATTTATCAGATCAAGAAGGGTATGTTTTTTATCTTTATATTTCTATTAAAGTACCAGTGCAGCTTTGAAAATACTTTCTGTCTAAAATAAATGAAAAAAGTCCTCATATCTATAACAGCAGCAACCAAGTACCTATTCAAATCTTAAGGCAATCCTTTTACCCACCTCTTTGTGGAGCTTTTCCACCTTACTGAACCCTTACAGTCACTGTTTTTGCTGCCAATTTCTCAAATATTTTTTTATGCTGTCTATCTAGTACTTGAGGGATTGCGACAGCTAGGAGAGGGTTGACTTATTGTCTGAAGCTGCTGAGAATAGGACAAGAAGCAACAGGTTCTCATTAATGAGAGATCCGATTTGGAATTAAGGAGAAATTTCCTGACAGAGAGAACAATTAATTAATGTAAACGGCTTGCACCTTTAGCCTAACTCTAACCTTGAACTGAACAGTGCTTTGTAAGAAATGTGTTAAGAACTCTCTGAGCAGAATGTGGGATGTCTGATGCTCTGATTTATATAATTAACAGGATGATGACTGCTGGATTTTACAAAAACAGTACTTTCTGGATAATCAGCTGCCACTTTGATAAACTAGGGGGGGACATATTAAAAAAAATAAGGGAACATTAATGTCTCTCCATAGCAATCTCAGCTTTGTGGCTTGTATGTGTACATCAACAATTTGTTGTTAGAATTTGTAGGCTAAATGTGGCATGCGATGGCACTTTTGCAAATCTGACAACTATTATGTCAAGGATACATCATACCTACTCCTTTAATGATTCCCTGGGGACAAGATTGGAAGAGGAACATTTACATACGATTTTCCGTGTGGAATTTATGGAATAGCCCTATTCTTTATTATTCTTTGCAGTATTTTGGTTCACATGTAAAATATTAAATTTCATAGTTTTACTACTAAGATTACTATAATGCTGTTAGATAGCATGCCAGATGGCAGTGAATTATATGTTAACACTTTTTGTCAATCTTATTATTCAATTTACATTGCTGATAAGTTCTCCAAGTACATAATAGTATGGCGGCATATAGTTCAGAGTTTTGCTACCTCAAAAATGTTTAAATTTATCTGCCTACTAAATATGGTTTTTTTTATAATGTCATAGCTTCATAAACATAAGCTTTACTTGACAAAATAATCTATTTTATGGGGAATTCATTTTTATTTATCCAGGTTTTTTTTTTAAAAAAAGAGATATTATTATTAGCATGCATGCTATACCCAAGAACTACTCTCTTTGTTTTTGTTTCATGGTTTCCTGTAACTTACAGCCGCTTCTAATGAAGAAACACCAGTCTGGACCAGGCTAAAATTAATGTGTGGTGCCTTCTTTTCTTTTCTTTTTTTTTAAAGGGTTCAAATTTTACATGTAGGCATTTGCTATCAAGAACAGATGAAAGCAACCTTGAAAACATAACATTAAGTATGTTAATAAGGCATAAATAGCTAGTAATTTTTGGGCTTCCCTAATTCTTTGCTAGGAGCAGAGAGACACTTTCATGCTACGTTTCTTAACTCTGAGCATTTTGTGCTTATTTTAATGAACCTTTTACTTTCATTACACTTGTTTATAAGGTGAAATAGTAGAAAATCCTGCCAAATATGACTTGAGAAACAAAACTTTCAAAACTGTTTTGGATGTTAAGGCTCAGTAGTGTGTAAATTTAGGCTGCTTAGAAATTTGTTGAAACAAATTAAGTTTAAGTGTACTAAAACTTTATTTGTAAAAAATTGATCTAATGTAGTAAACAGCTACTTTTTGCTGACATATAAAAGGAGTAGTCTAATAAAAAATTCTTTAAAGCTTATCAAAAGGACTATCTCAGTTCAGAATTTCTGGTTTATTTTGTGTTTTCATTTACATATCATGGCATAAATTCATGCTATTTAATGCTTCATATTTATGTAACTGTTCATTCATCGTCCAATCCTGTCTGTGCAGTGAGCTTCTTATGCTGCCCAGGGCAAAACGAGGAAGAAGTGCAGAGTGCCTACATACTACCAGGTAAATACAGGCATTTGGTAACTAAGCTTGCTTATAAATAGTTCCGGTGTATGTCTTTCACATCTTTTTTTTATTTTACAAATCATTCTGTTTCCCCAGAAACTAGTATTCCTGTTAGTCCTACTGCAGATGATAGGCCGCCTAATTGTTTAGTTATTTTTAAAAGTTTTCTTATACCGAAACATCAGTCGATTCAATGAATGAGTTTAATGAATCCAAATCTATGGATCTGAGCAGCTGTTTCATATGTTTATATATCCTGTAATGTCTAGATCTTATAGCTTCTGTTAGGACAAATTTCATATTTAGCAATTGATCAGTTGCAAGCGCTGTAACTACAAGCAAAAATAGGCCTTCAAATGTACGGCAGGGTTATTATTCCATGTTTCATTCTTTACAATTATTTGTTTAGTTTTTTTTACTTTATTATTTTGAGTTTTCTGTTTTATACATACTGATCATTTCTGATGTAAAATTAAGTGCTCTTATTCATTGCAAAACTTTATGGACATATGTGCTTCTTATCGCAGACATAGCAGGGAGGTTTCAACCTCATGTACAGTCAGAAGGGGATCCACTCAAAACCTCATGGTTCTGTTATAATGAACTGATGTATTCACCTTATACCATCTCCAAATGTTTTAAGTTTATACTTCACACATTCAGCCATAGATTCTCTGCCTTTGAGGTTATCCACTGGGAGATTGTAACAACTCCTGTCCAAAGTCCTTATACGTGCTGAAATTTAAACAACTATACAGTATGTGTACTTTCAAATGCCCTTTCTATCACTCTTGGCAGGTGGAGTTACTCTCTCCCCTAATCTCAAGTTATCCAAATGAGGCAACTGTGCCTATCTGATTAAATAATCAAAATATGAAAGTGATCAAAACAATGATGGTCAGAAACCATGATATTACACAAGCCTACCTAACATTTGCCACAAACTGGCTTTTATTTTGCAGAACTTGCATTTTTATCCTTCTTTTTGATCCATAACTGTAAATTCATTAATAAATACCTGCCTTGGTGATATTTGCAGAAAGGCGGTAGTATATAAACAAGAGTAGCAGCAAATGCTTTTTCCCCAGATACTGCAGGATAAGCCCTATCTGAAACCTGGAGTGAACTTGCAAAAGTTTATGCTGTTCATAGGGGGGGGGGGGAAACTGGTAAGAAATCCTGGTAGTCACATCTTAAAAAAAATAGATGTGGAAAGCAGAATATTATAGATGAATCAATGTAATGATTATATAGTAGTAATAGAAGTGATAGGTGAATAGTTTGTTATTATTTTGTAAAAGATTGAGGTCCTTTTCTGAAATTGAAAATCAGATTCCGAAACACTTCACTCTATCTCATGCAGGCCATACTCACAATTGTATTTTATTAATATACATACATACACACACACACACACACACACACACACATACATACATACATACTGGAAAAATAAACTTGAGAACTATGCTCAAATATGGGCAATTGAAGAATAAAGCTCTCCTGAACAATTCAGTGACTGTGAGTTGCTATTTTTTGTCTTTTCTTTGATCCAGTACAACTTCAGTAGATAGAGTTTAAACTTTTATTATTTAAATTAGCAAGTATTTATTTATTTATTAAAACAAATTTATGTAGCTGTCCAGTTGACACAGTGATTCCAGGCAGTGTATAGCATTAAAAATCCACAGTTAAAAATACACAATTAACCATCACGCTACTCCATGGTGGTGATAATAGGATGAGACAAGTCACTTGATTGGGCCTAAATAGGTTCCCTAAGCCTGCTGACAAAATCATGTATTCAAGGCTTTGCGGAAAAGCAACAAGGTGGGGGTCAATCTTATCTCTGGAGGGATGATGTTGCCAAGGTAGAGAACCACCACAGAGAAGGTCCTTTTTCTAGGTCCCACCAGGTATACTTCCTTGATAGTTGGGCCCAGTGCTTTTTTTCTAAAAAAAAAAAAAAAGGTGCCGGAACTCACACACGTCATACAACCCGCCTTGCCTACCCTACAAGGTTCCATCCAAAAAAGGTGCCGGAACTCCGTTCTGGGCATTCTATGAGAAAAAAAGCCCTGGTTGGGCCCACAACATTCCTGCTCCAGTGGGCCAGGTAGATGTTATTATTAACAATATTTGCCAACAAACAGCAAATGACTTACATGAATGTTTTGCTGCATCATAATTTACTATTTCGTCTAGTTATTTCATCTCTGCCTATATATTTTTGTTTCTTGCATGGCTCTTTCCCCTTCTTTTCTGTCACATTCAAGAAATTCTGTTAGGCACTATAAATCACTACCTCCCAAGATGCCTTTATTTGAGAATGGCACTTACTGGAATCTTTACAGGTAAGAAATCTGTTGCTGTCACATGAAAGTTCTCACATAGAATTCTAGAGAAAAAAGGACGTATTTTTCAAATGGAATTGTCAACCAGCCTCTCTATCTTAACACATAACTTAACACATAACACAGCCACACCTTCTCTTAAATGCTTTGCTAGGTTGCAGTACCCAGCTTGTTTGGCTGATCTATAGCAGCTAAGCCAGATTACTCCTCACAAGTTCTTGGATGGGAGATTATCACAAAATAGCAGGGTTCTTTACAGGCAGTCCTCAACTTATGACAATTGGTTCAGTGAACATTCCAAGTTACTACATAACTAAAAATGTGACTTATGACCAGTCCTCATAATGACTGTCACAGCATCCCTGCAGTCATATAATGCAATTTGGATTCCTGGCAATCAGCATATATCTATGACGGTTACAAAGTCTTAGGTCTTGTGATTGCCATTTGCAACCTTCCCAGATGGCTTCCAACAAGCAAAGTCAATGGGGGAAGCTGGTTTGCTTAACGACTGGTGACGTGAGGACTCACTTTATGCCTGGCATCACTTAGTGACCCAATTGTATCAAAAGTTAGGGGCCACCTGTACTAGACATGGAAGTAAAAAAAAATAGCAAAAGACGTCTGTGGCAAAC